TCAAGCTTCATGACCACGTAGATTTCATATATATAGTAAAGGCAACTTGTCAGTTTTTTATTCACATGCAATTAATAGATCACCAACTTGTCTTGTTTGTATTTATCTTGGTTTTACCCACCTTTTCATTATGCATGTATTTTGTCAATGTGTTTACACTCGTTGTATGTTTTGAGTAGAAGGTGTTATAAAAGTAACTTGTACTTTTTGCCCAATACTCAATAAATATATGTGAATAAAATAAAAAAATATTCACATGCTCGCATATATATATACATAGGTGTTGGGGTTCCCAGATGAAGCCATCCATATAATCAAATCAACATGACCTAACGCTAACTCTTCTGGCGATCTTACAGCTAAATCAGCTATCCACCATAATAAACAAAACGATGATACAATCTTCTGTTTTTACATGGTTATCAATGACTTGAAATGGTATATTCAGCTTACGTACTATGTACATACCTGGTGCGTTACGAATGAATGATGCGGGCAGAGTGCCCGTTCCCTGATCAGCTTCCATACGGATTCCCCGTAAGCTTCCTTGATGTACTCGTTGATGGATTCAAGCAGCAGCCCGTACATTATTCCACCGGCAGCTGTGCAGTCTCTCTCGACCGGCAAGTCAAATTCCGCGCCCTTGGATAGCTAGCTTCCGCCGTTCGGGGACAGGACGCAATCCAAACACGTTCCCCCCTGTGTGTCCTTTCTGTGACAGGCAGCCCTGCAATAGTCGTCCGGACAGCGAAGGCTGGAATGTTGGCTATGCCTTCAGGGCTCCGTTCCTATCCCCGCGAAAAGCTGCCGTTTGGCACGACCGGGGGATGTTTCCTCATTCGCCGGCGGTTCCGCGGGTCAGTGCGCGGGCCGGGCCACCCTCTTCCCAAGGACTGCCATTGCACCGTTCCTCGCTAAGGTTGTTGCATCATTGACCGCCCTCCAGTAGATAGAACGCTCGCTCTCTCCTCTCGGTAATTCAGCCGGACCGGATGACACTGCAAACAGACATAAAATGTTATAATATACCTGACTCCGACCCCATGGCACAACAGCATATTGCATTGACTGTGAACGACAAGACACCGACTCAACACTGGCTTTGGTAGCCTGTTAGAATGCGTTTGTGCCGGGCTCGTTTTTACCTCAATATTCCGGTCACACTCTCCCGGCAACAGGCACCCTGTGATGTGGTAACTGTCGATCCGGGGTTTAAAGTGCGGTTGATGATGACAAACTACGGCTATCACGAGAGGCTAGACGGGCTATTTATTAGGATCGTTCTGCATGTATCTACGGCGTAGCACCATGGTAAACTGATACGGGGTCGTCCGTAGCCGAAATTAGAACATTAGGACCTATTTAGAGGACTAAGGGTTTGGAGTCCGCTGGGGCAAATATAGAAAGAGCGGTACGCCAACCATGTTTCAAGTACAACACTGCCTAGTAAGTATCCTGCCAAGCAAATGTTCTACATGTATGACTAGACAGCGGCCAGGCTTAAATACGGTGAAAGCAAACATGATTTATAAACAGACGACAAGCATCATGATGACACTTCACCTTTCAGTCCCAGCAGGCTGGCTTCTTACGGTAACCCAAGATGCGGATGTTACTTGACGTTGAACGGGAGAGAGAGATCGGGGATGCCGCCTAAACAGCGGTGCACGCTCCGGGGAACTGACTCTACTGACGCGCGGTTCGTCAGTGTTAGCGCGGGGTAACAGATGCTCGCCCTCCGCCGTCTGTAGGAGGTGTCAATCAAACTTCCCAGTAGGTGTGTCTGTGGCAGATCCTTACTGTAATCCCCTGGAGTTTCCTCTCACTGTACAAAACAATTAGAAATTATCAGATACTTCCTTGCGTGAAAATATAATTCATATTAGTATAATATAATCCCAAATGGATTGGGATAAGTAATGACATCAACACCTTGACGTAGATATTATTGTCATTGTCAATTTTATACAGGAAAGGGGATCTCTAGAACTTCGAAATTTCTCTCATTATACAACACAATTGGCAAATATCAGATGCTTCCTTGCGAAAAAAAAATAATTAAATCTCAAGTAATAGATTTGGATTGGGATTGGCATAAGTAATGACATCAACACCTTGACGTAGATATTATGTATACAGGAAAGGAGATGTCGAGAACTTCGAAATTTCTCTCATTCTACAACACAATTAGCAAATATCAGATACTTCCTTGCGCGAAAAAGATAATTAGTTCCCAAGTAAAGCAATTAGGGCCCAAATGGTTGTGATAAGTAATGACACCAACACCTTGACGTACATATTATGTATACAGGAAAGGAGATTTCTAGAACTTCGAAGTTCCTCTCATTGTACAACACAATTAGCAAATATCAGATACTTCCTTGTGCGAAAAATATAATTAGTATTATAGTATAATATAATCCCAAATGGATTGGGATAAGTAATGACATCAACACCTTGACGTACATATTATGTATACAAGAAAGGAGATCTCTAAAACTTCAAAATTTCTCTCACTGAACAACACAATTAGCAAATATCAGATACTTCCTTGCGCGAAAAATATAATTAGATCTCAAGTATAAGCAACGTGGGTTGAGATAAGTACCTTGACGTAGACATTATGTATACAGGAAAGCAGATCTCTAGAACTTCAAAATTTCTCTCATTGTACAACACAATTAGCAAATATCAGATACTTCCTTGTGTGAAAAATATAATTAGATGTCAAGTATAAGCAACGTAGGTCCAAATGGATAGGGCTAAGTGATGACATCAACACCTTGACGTACATATTAAGTATACAGGAAAGCAGATCTCTAAAAAAGGTTACAGTTCCGATCTCTGCTTCCTCTTGACACAGAAACGGTACTCGTTGCCAAGGCTACAGTTGACTCGGCATAAAACACTTGAGGATACTATTTGGGCCACACTAAACTAATATAATTATAATACTTCATAACACAAACGGCTAAAAGATTTCGAGAATGTAATATCGTCCACGATATTGACGTGGCATTCCATGCTTCAAAAGTAAGGCCATGTTGATTTAATTGAGGTATCCACACGCGCATATATTTTGGTTCCTTCCCATATCAAAACGTTTTTTACCATACTGTAAATCATACAAAGCAGGTGCAAATGAGCAAATATGGCCCCATTCCCACTAGGATAAAACTATCCGGATCGAGTCGAACTGATCCAGCTTAATCCGGCTCGAAGCAGCTCAAAGCCGGATCAAAGCGAATCAATTCGGCTCGATCCGGATAGTTTTATCCCAGTGGGGAAAGGGCCTATATGTCGCAAATTTTTTGAAAAGGCCTGTATATTACATGGCATGCATGCAAATGATTTGAAGATATATGCAAACCATCGGTAGGCAAATCAACCAACCGCCTACCACTCACTGGCTGCCGTGACGTCATGGCGGTCGCTCGTATTGCCTTTGAAACGGGGATAGCTGAAGGCAGTTTAACATGATCTACCATGAATCAGTCACCTTATATGTCAAGTGCGCCCACGTTCACTTTGCAGATGTTGACTCAGAAAAGAGTAAGACTTGATGTTGGTTGCCGATTTCCAAGGATATATATCAGTAAAGTTTATTGCAAATACATGCCAGAGGGCTACTTGCAAGAACAAACGACATGAATGAAAAACAAAAATACAGTGACATAAGAGACAACATCTCTTAACGTTATACTACATTTTACAACATACGTGGCACTACTTTTGCTGGGTTCGACTTCTTCTTTTGAGGCAGCGGAAGACGATGTAGGTTCTTTTATTTTTAGTATATAGCAGAATTATTTTCTTATGGTAAGGAAAAGTGTGAAAGTGAGGGTGTATCTTGGACACATAAAATGAACAATTTCAAGGAGAGATGAAGCGATTTTCATTTTCCATTGAATACGACTCGTATCATAAGTGATGATGACTGCGAAACAACAGCACCCCTAGCAGGTCCCTTGGAAAAGGCATGTATAGCCTCTACCAGGCTCCGGCAAGCGACTAAAAAGGGTAGAAATTGGCCAAATACATTATTATAACAGTTGGTCCGCTCTAAGACAACAGTTTGCCGCTCCCTAACTGTTCTCTTTTCGCCAGTAAAGTTAATGTAGTACAAACTTTGTGGAGTCACCTTAAAACAAGGATAAACTGAACCGAACTGACACGCGTGTTCGTATATGGACATCTTAAAAGCAAACGCCACTGAAGGGGGAAGCCGTTTCAATCTGAAGGAAGAGCATTTCAATGATGGTTTCTTTCATCCGTTCTGACGCCTTTTCGCTGCCTCTGTCGACTTTTATCGGTGAAATTTGAAGAACCGTACGTCTTTTGATACATTGATACCCCCAGGCTGTCAAGGCAACAAACGTCATATATACGAAGTGGTTTACACTATCATGTTTTCTGTGTTAGGCCACTAGTAATTTTTATAGATGACATCAGGGTGCGCATTAATTTTCGTCTGATTTTGGGGGGAAAAAAAACAAGAAATTGTGTTACCCTCTGACAGTGGTCAAGATGCCGAAAATGGGCAAAGATGTCTGTTACCGTGCCGGAACGTGGATGGCAGATAACTATAAAGAGAGGAGACAAGAAACGGCTCTGATTTGATGTTTTGTTTCTTACTTTTATGCAATGATATGTGTTGCTGGCTGTGTATATGTGATGTTCCCACTGAATCAAAACCATTTGTACCATGATTGAGTCAAAATGTTAAAATGTAGGAACCTTGTTTTTTTTTAGGCCCGTCTTTTTTTCGCTCGCTCGCATTAGATTTGGCATCTGCGCAGAATGTCATCCATAAAATTTACGTGCTGTGGCCTCAGTTCTGACGCCTTTTCGCTGCCTCTGTCGACTTTTATGAGTGAAATTTGAACAACCGTACGTCTTTTGATACATTGATACCCCCGGGCTGTCAAGGCAACAAACGTCATATATACGTTTACATAAGTTTACGCTATCATGTTTTCTGTATTAATGTTACCGACGGGCATTCATTAATAAGCGGGCGTCAGGCTGTGAATTGAAGGACCGTCGGCCGAATGCGTTGAACGCCAAAATATATATTTTTTTCTATTTCGAAATTTAACCACAAGACGTGGTGACTGCATGCACACTCAAATTTTAAACTTCAGCCTATTTCCATGACCCCACCAGCATAAAAGACAACACAATACCTATTTCACCTACTACCACTAGTAAGGAAGATAGGATAGTAAAATTAAGGTCTCACTGGCCAGGAGAGTGGGTCCACCATTAGGGTGAATGAATAGCCTCCACCATGCCTTTCAACGGGAATACGGATCGTAGAATTCGGCAAAGAAGAGAATAAAATTGGCCAAGGGAGTCCGGCTGCGGGGAGGTAGTTTCTTTCCCTCCTGTGCGACCAATCAAACCTACAAGGCGGCCAAACGTAACTCCCCTGGCAAATATTCTCCTATATATAGCCAGCGAAGTTGGTTTGGTAGAGACTAGTGAATGAACTCTACGGTGGCCAAACTCCACTGGACTATCATCCTCCCCATTTGGCTAAATTTTACTGTTAAGTTTTTGAGGTGTTAGTCAGGTGCGAAGAATCCGGCTTATACTCGGTGTATTTATGTTTGTTTTGGCAACATGAGTACTTTATTCTTGTGTTTGTTATTAATGGCTCGACTAAGCCGGATCCTTTATGGCCACATTAATTTAGTTTTATGAATGACATCCACGCGCGCATTGATTTTTGGAAAAAAATTACCTCCTCCGAGGCTCTGGCCTGGGTGTCATCCTTCGTAGTCGGTGATAATAGCTAGCAACAACATGGAGCCGGTGGTAACTATGGAGGATGGCACCCAGGTTGCCGACGCTCCATGGAACTCCAAAACTCAGTACAGTAGTACACACTCAAAATGCCGCAAAAGGCCAGTATGTGCCGGCTTGTCGTAAGTCCCTATGCACTGCCGTCAAATTCACAATACCAGCTTTGTTTTCCTGTGGTTTAGTAGCATTTTTTCCGTGCATTTTTTTTTCGCCCGCGCGCACTAGTTTTGGGTCTTCAGAGGATGTCATCCATAAAATTAAATCAGTGTGGCCTGGGGGGGGGCAGTGTCTCTAGTAGTTTGTTGTTCGGTATTGAGTAGTTTCTTGTGTGTCTTTCTGTCTGTCCGCCTGTTCGTTTGTTTGTTTGTAGTTATTTCTCAACATGCTATATTTCGTGACAGAAAAGGGAAGAGTGATTTGCAAAAAGTCAGAGTTGAGAGTGTGACAGGAACTACAGTTCAAAGTTGATAGAATTTGCCATTTATCAACCTTTGGCAGACATGACAGACATTTCAGGACATGGGGTCATTGGAAGAGGCCACTAGTTCACGGGGAGGTATTCTTTTCGTTCTTCCTGTCCGTATTTTATTTTCACAGTTACATGTTTTACATATGCTAGTCTTGTTCACGGTAGATTGCCCAATCAACACACATTATGTTAATCAAAAATATTTGCATAATAAATGAACAATATAGAGGACACACTAACTATTTGGCGGAGGTATGAGATCGTTGAACTCTTGTTCAGCTGTGTTTGGAGAGGGGACACCATGCATTGAATTCAAGGACGCGACGTTGAGGGGCGCACTACAACAACATAGTAACAGAGTCTACCATGCATGGCGACTTCAAATATTTGAATAGACTCAGTGACCTGCTTTGTGAATACTTGGCTGTCACGGTACTAGTACGAACTCCACTCTAGACATTGTAGATTCGTACCAAACCCCAGAAAAATGCACTGAGTGTACGTAAATTAGGATATCCTCTTTCATACTGCCCAAGCATTTGTTTCAA